TTTTCCTTTTAACGGATTGGGTTCTCTTGGGCCCAATTCCTTTCTCACTTTASGGCTGCCAAAATTTCTTTTAATTCCTCTAACAGAAGTAATTCAACCTGAGTTGATCCACGATTCTCTTCTAAAAGCTTAGACCATTTTACATAGAATTTTCGACTTTTGGAAGAGAAAATGGCCTGATAAATTCATGTCTTCCCACACTAGTCATTGGTTTGCATGACTGCTTTCTTTGACTTGCCTCTCTCGTCCTTGACTTTTCTTATACATGTCTAAAACCGACTTTGATCTCGAATGATTGCAATATTATTCAATGGAATGAATCCGTTATATTAGTTATACTAACAATTAATAATTAATTAAGCTCACAACTCATTAAAATTAAAGATTATCTCTTGAATGCCAAATAAATAATCTCACAATGCAATAACATCAAATTAAACGTCTATCATTATCTTTGTCTTCCTTTATTGAGAGGTTCTAAAGCTCATTTTCTTCACAAAGCCCATTTTTTATACAAATTGTTCTCTCCTTTGCTTACAGCTCCTTGATGAGCAAGATCACACATATCCTCCATAAGACAAGACGGCCACGCCCTCCACCACCTCGACCCTAAAGCGAGGCGACTACGTCCTCTACCATAAGATAGGACGGCCACACGCCGTCAACCACCTCACCATAATACAGGGCGACCATGCCCTCGACCAAAATGCAGGATAGGCACACCCTCGACCATCTGGACTATACGACAGGGCTACCATGTCTTCGGCCAAACAGCATAAAACATATCCAGTCAAGGAGCGTCTTTTATCAGGATCTGAAGCATAATCTGAATCTACATAGCCCACGATATCATCAGAGTAATCAATTTCTCTGTTATAGACAAGTCCCTTTTGAAGTGATCCTTTAGCATATCTAAGAACCCACTTTGATGCCTCCCAATGTGGCTTACCTGGATTAGCCATAAATCTGCTAATCACATTCATTGAGTGAGCTAGGTCTGGCCTGCAGCAAATCATTATGTTCATAAGGCTTCCTACCAAACTTGCATAAGGAACCAACTTCATATTTTCTATCTCTTCAGCTGAAGTAGGTGATTGAGATGAAGATAGTTTAAAATGATGGGCAAGAGGTGTTTTTACTGATTTTGCGTCGTCTAACTGAAAACGCTTAGCAATTTTGCTTATATAACCCTTTTGTGTTATGCTCAACATGTGTCTCTGTTTATCTCGATTTAAATCCATACCAAGGATTCTTTTAGCAGCCCCTAAATCCTTCATTTCAAATTCTGATCCCAGCTCTTCTTTAATTTTCTTTATCTCAGTCATATTTTCAGAGGCAAGGAGAATACATAGAGTAATAACAGAACAACAGAACTGAGGTGTGATTATTTATTCTCTTAATGTATACACAAGTGTCAAAGAGACTTTTATAGAATCCCTTTGAAGTAATGAAAGTGTTAAAACGCTTGTTCCATTGTCGAGGTGACTGTTTTAGTCCATAGATTGACCTCTGAAGATGACAGACAAGATTCTCATTACCTTGGTCAATAAAACCAATAGGTTGTTTCATAAAAATATTCTCTTCTAAGAAACCATATAGAAATGCAGTGGTCACGTCCATTTGTTCCAAGTAGAGATCAATTTGAGTAACAATTGAAAGAAGAATTCGAATGGAAGTGTGTCTTACCACTGGTGAGTATATCTCATTATAGTCAATGGCCTCTTCTTGTGTGAAGCCCTTGGCTACTAGTCTAGCCTTAAACCTTGGTTTTTCAAAACCTTTTACTCCTGGTTTAAGCTTAAAAATCCATTTGCAGTCCACCAATTTCTGATTTAGTGGTTTTTCAACCAATTTCCAAGTATTATTTTTTAGTAGGGACTCAAACTACCTCTGCATTGCTTCCTTCCATTCCTTAGAATTTTCAGAATTCATAGCTTCTTTGTATGAACTAGGCTCAGAGATATCAGTAAGGTCTAAACAATTTAAAGCATAACGAGCAAAATCTGAATGATCAAATCTCGATAGTGGCCGAATAACTCTTCTTTCCCTGTCTCTAGTTAATTGATAGTTCTCAAGATTTTGTGTTTCAACATTGGGCTCTGTAGAGGAGTGGTCACCCTCTGAAGTGGAGGGCTCTGTAGGAGACTGAGGTGGAAGAATGCTTTCAGATGAATCTTTTGCTGTAATACCTGATGCTTGAAGTTCAATTTCGAATGTCTCAGTTTCTATTTTGCTAGTAGAGGCTTGATTTGTATCCTGTTTCCACGGCATAAAGTCCTCATTAAAAGTTACATCTCTGCTCACAACACATTTGTTATCACCAGATTCAAGAGACCATAATCTGTAACCTTTAACTCCTTGCTGATAGCCTATGAAGATGCAGCGTTTTGCTCGTGGTTCTAGTTTTTCCCTTTTTATGTGTGCAAAGGCCTCACAACCAAAAGTTCTCAAGTGAGCTAATGAAGGAGGTTTTCCTGACCATTACCTCTTGAGGTGTCTTGAAGTTTAAAGCAGTTGAAGGGCACCTATTTATAAGATAGGTGGCTGTATTCACAGCCTCACCCCAAAACACTTTAGGTAAATTTGCATTTGAAAGCATACATCTCACCTTTTCAAGAATCGTTCTATTAAAACGTTCAACTAAGCCATTTTGTTGGGGAGTACCAGGCACAATAAGATGTCTACCAATCCCAGAGGTGTTACATAGTTGTTTAAACTTTTCACTTAAAAACTCCAAGCCATTGTCTGTTCTCAACATCTTTATTCTTCTCCCAATTTGATTTTCAACTAACACCTTCCACTCAAAAAATTTGTCAAAAACCTCATCTTTTGTTTTAAGCAAATAAACCCATAGTTTTCTAGAAAAATCATCTATAAGGGTAAGGAAATATCTAGATCCTCCATAAGTCATAACCTTTGCAGGTCCATGAGTCATAACCTTTGCAGGTCCCCATAAATCCGAGTGGATATAATCAAGTTTTCCTGTGGCTCTTGAAGAGGATGGTTTAAAACTTTCTCACTAACTTACCTAATACACAATGATCACAAAATGAAATATGTGAGAGTTTTTCCTTCCCCAGTAGACCGTGGTGGAACAAATGATCAAGACCTTTATCACTTACGTGACCCAATCTACTATTTCATTGCTTAGTTAATTTCAAACTTTTATTGCTGGCCACATTTAGTTCTCCCACAACGGTATTGCCATTTAGAACATAGAGTCCATTTTTTAAAATACCTGTTAGCTTTAGCATAGAGTCTTTATAAACAGATAAGACTCCCTTTTCTGAAGTATATACACAACCTGACTTATCCAAGGTACCAAGGGAGATTAAATTTTGTTTTAACCCAGGTACAAATCTCACATCAGATAGTATTATATTAGGCCCATTATCCAACCTTAACCTGATTGAACATATGCCTTTAATCTGACATTGCTGATCGTTGCCCATTATCACTTGTCCACCATCAAACTCTTCTAATTCAACAAAATAATGTTTTTGTGGGGTCATGTGAAAGGTGCAACCTGAATCCATTATCCATTCATCTGAACCATTCAATTTTCCCACCACAAGAACCTCAGCGGACTCATAGCCTTCTAATAAATTTGCTTTGGCTTTATTTTCACTTCTTACTGGCAGCTTTCCTTTTCTTTTTAAAATTGGGCAATCATATTTAATATGTCCTTTTTTATGGCAATAGTTACAGGTAAGTTTTTCCTTTTCTTTTGTATTTCCTTTGCTAAAAGACTGATTCGACTGTTTACTAGAATGCTTATAGCGATTCTTGAACTGTTTAGTTTTAGAGAATAAAGCTTCAGTGTCTTTCTTTCCGGATTTGAATTCAAGTTCTTTGGATCTTGAGGAATCAAGAACAATGTCCAAAATTAATGCATCTCTCCCATATTTAATGGCAGATTTAACCTCTTTGTACTTGTCAGGTAATGAATTCAAAAGTATAACAGCTTGATTTTCATCGGTGAGTGTCTCCCCAGTATTTGTCAATTCCATACAAATCTTGTTAAAATCGTCAAGATTTTCTTCCAGTCCCTTAGATGAATCCATTTTGTAACCAAACAATCTTTCTTTTAGGTAAACCTTATTTGTGAGAGATTTTGAAATATATAGTGTATCAAGTTTGGTCCAGAGTTCAGAAACACTATCTATGCCATTTACTCTTCTAAGAACACTGTCAGAAAGATACAAAATCACTGTACTATACGCAATTTCAGTATTCTAAGCTTTATCTTCCTCGGATATAGATTCAGAATACTTACTTGGATCGAGGGCTTTAGCAACCTTTTGTTGCACGAGTAATGTCTTCATCTTCTTCTTCCAAAGACTGAAGTCCCCTTTTCCGTCAAATTTCTCTAACTCAAATCTTGCAATCACCTTATCAACATTTTGTTGTGAGTAACAAATTAATTATTTTATTTACATTATAACTATTATAATAGATGATGTAATTTTTGTTTTAATTTAAAAGATTGGTCAACTAGATATTTAGTTAATTTTAATCTTTTAATTAATATTACACTTCTTTAGAAATGGTCTGGAGTGGGTCATATTACTCATGATATTTTAGAAAGGTCCATTTTTTAAAAATATTTACAAATCTATATTTTCAAGATTTAAATAAATTCTTTTTTCTTAAATTGCACTCAATAAATGTCATTATATTACGGTTATTATTATATTTTAAAATGTATTGTTTCCCGCTAAGAATTGACGGTCATCTAAATGTAAATATTTATATTAATTATTAAATGATAATATTTTAATAAATAATTAAACAAATATCATACTTAATCAATGCACTTCTTCTTGCTTAATTTTCCGACCATTCTTCTTTGGATTTTCCTATGTATATTATTTTTCTTAGTAATTAAGGTTTAAAGTTTAGGGGTTAGGATTTAGAATTTAAGATTTTGTTTCTAAAAAAGAGAACTTGCCTCTAGTGTTGTTTATTTATTAAAAATATATAAATACAAGTAGATTTATAATTTTCACATGCACCCATCATAAACTGACCTTTATTTTGATAAGTTTATAAATATTAAAATTTTTAGATATTTATGTAATTAGGTGTCTAAAATATAGTTGTATCCCATGTAAACTAATGAAGGTTTTATAATGGAACTCAAAATTGATATAAATGAATTAAGAAAACAACAGCGGTGAGCGTTTTTTTTAATTGAAAATATAGAATCAAGATATATAAAGTAATAAATAAATAAATATTTTGAAAAATTTAAAGGCCAAATATATTTTACTTTTAAGGCCATGTTTAATCAGATTGGACAAAGGTTTAATAATGAAATTTAAAATAAATATTGATGAATTTAAAAGATTACAATGATTATTATCAAACTCACGAACCGTATAAAATTTAAGAACTCTAATATTAACCCTGAAAAAAAAATTATTTCTATAACTATGATATGATTTGATCAAATTAGTTCAAATTTCGTTTAATTTTGATTAATTAGATGGACCCTTTATTTTCAATTAGTTTCAATTACAAATATCAATTTCAACATTAATTTCTCAATTAAATTGATATGTCAGACTGTCATTACAGCATTAAATTAGGCCAAAGAAAAAACATCTTATTTTTAGGACGTCTCTACTTGAGAACAGGTTCTTTTTTTTTTTTTCCTTTTTTGTATAGATGAAATTCTCAGACTTCTTAATCAAATGTAGATGTCAATTACGGGTGAGTTAGACTCATATTTGCTATTTTGTTCAATCTTTTTTAGTTCAAATCATATAACACGATTAGTCTCTAATCTCAAGTAATCTTCTCAATTCTATGACTTGACTCGAGAATAAGCAATGCTCGTCATTTTGGATTTGCAAGAAAAGCAATTGAACATTGCCTTTTAGCAAGCCAATTTTTACTTGTATGTGGCTGTGACCTGATTTTACAAAGAGAATCATCTGTCTTCTCCAAGAAGCAAAAACACAAATGTAAAAATTTCAAATTTGGGAAGCAACAACATTTGCAAACGAATCCGATACCGAATACCGTTATGAAGCCCAATTAGTGACCTTCAGATTCATACGAATGTAAACAAACCGAAGATCATACGAAGCAAAGTTATCGAATTCTAAAGAAGATCAACCTTTTCTTCGGTAGCTCATGCATCTGCTTCGAGAATAACATCATCCTGAAATCAATATGTTTTACAAATGCGCTAAAAGTAAACACTGAACTAACCTTACATATCTTAGGGATTGTCTTCCAAAGTACTCAAACAGACCGAATCAAAACGTGCTCTCGCTAATTGCTGATAGTTATATGTTAAGCTATTAGGAGCTCTTTGTAAAATAAACTTTTGCTTCTGTTTTTAAAATCAATTTTCAAGACTTAGGAGCATCAAAACACTGAACATCGCCTTTCAGCACGCAATTTTCTTGTATGGGGCTGTGATATGTTTTTACCAAGAGAGTCTCATCTGATTCAACATCCCAAAGAAGCGCTCGTATGTAGAAATTTCAAAATTGGGAAGCAACAGCATTTGTAAATGATTCCGATACCGAATACCATATGAAATGAAACTAGCGACCTTCAGATTCATTTGAATGTAAACAATACCGAAGATCATACTAAGAAAAGTTATCAAATTCTAAGGAAGTCAGGGTGATTTGAACAAACAACTGGCTCTATCTAACAACAGCCCTCTTGGGTTGGAAATATTGATAATCAAGTTTAAATCAAGTCATTGACAACATGAAAACTGAATTTTCTAGTAATATCCACTCGAGGAAAGAAAAAAGAACCATACTTCGAAATTACCCGAGCCCCGCAACCCTGAGTTTTTCTTGTTCTCACTCCTCCATAGCATCTCCTCCTTCGATTATCTCGACTTTTTCCTTCAATGGCGTGATCTTCGTCAACAGAACCTCTATAATCAAAGGAAGCACAAGTCATCATAAGAGAAACAAAACATGAAGATACACAGGAAGAGTATAAGGAAGACGCGTGACTAACCCGTTTTCTTGGGGAAGGAATAGCCTTTCGAACTGACGTATGTTCGAGGGTTCGGTAAGAGGTAGTTTCTCAGATAATCCTTCTGCCCCTGCAACACCAAAAGAATATACATAACTTCAGGATTCAATTTTTCCTATATTTTCTTATAAGCAGTCAAGAGAACTTTGGATGATCACAAACCTTGGTTATGACGCAAACATCAACGTTACTTCCACTTCCCAAGTCATTAAATATCCCGGAACATATCGCCTCGGTTACGAGTTGAATCCCTTCATCCCTCTACAACGAGGAAATAGAAGCCCCCAATCAATACGGCGGATGGAAAAAGAAAGAAGCAGTTGCACAACTAAGGTACAACATATTATTCAAATTTATCTGCGGCTGTATAGCACATGAACTTACAGTCAGGCCTTCTTTGTACTTTGATTCAAATACAGCCATTGCAGCTAGAGAACCCGATCCCATTGTAGCAAATGGCAAGGTGTCAGTTGATCCATGAGGATATATCTGCAAACAGAAGTATCACATTTCAAGATGGCGAGTTATGCAACTTAAAATCATTCGTTTTTCAGAATGAAACTTACAGTGTGTAAATGAGGTCCAGTAACATCAACCCCACCGAGCACCAAAGCGGCTGACACGTAACCTCGATAGCTAGAGAACATAATGCATGTAAAGAATTAGATTCACTCTATAAATAGATGACTAGATGAGAGCCATGAGAAAAAAAAATATCCAAGACGACAAGAAAGGCTATACCCGAAAAGGTGTTTCTTGAGAAGGGTCAGTGCAGTAACAACCCTTGATTCTCGCCCAGTGTGGTAGCGGTGCAATTGCAATTGGGAGCTAACCATGTCTAATGAAATGCAAGAATAAAAATAATAGAATTAGCTCGGTTTGAGGAACAATATTGACGGAACCTAACTGGTAGTAGGTAGATATCACCAATTACCTGTTACTGCCTCTGTATCCGCAGCAGTTCCTGCTCCACAACAATATATGTTTGGTGCCATATAATGAATTTTCTCACAGTTCTTGTCAGCAACAATAGGGCCTTCGGTAGCTCGTGTATCTGCTCCAAGAATAACACCATCCTGAATAAAATCACAAAGATAAAAGAATATTAATTTGAATTCAAAGAAGAAACTTTGGTGTCATTATCATAATTGAAAACAAAAGGCCATACAGTGTACAAGCATTACATTTACTAACTATTTAGACCAGACCATTCAATCCAGTTATCTTTTAAAAAATGATATACATCACTGACAAGGTGAACGCTTAAAAGTTTAAATTCTCCAGCCAACACGTCCAGAAGGTTAGCAGCAATTTTAATATCACTCAGACTTTGTACCAAAAAGAAAAAGATATCTTCCTATAAAGCAGATCTACTAGGCTTCAGTATATGGGAATAGGGGCAGTGTTATTATATAAGAAAAATTATGAGTTAGGTCCCTAATCTTTCAAGGTTGTGTCTTGTCTATTAAGTCTTTGTAATTTAAAAAATTACCAATAGATCCCTCAACTTTCAAAGTTGTCTCCCTAGTCCACTTTAAAAAGTTTTGACTCCTTGAAATATTAATTTGGTGTCTGATAGGTCCCTTAATATAGGGATTTACTAAACACAAAATTGAAAATTTAAGTACCTATTAGAAATTTTTTAAAATATAGAGACCATATAGACATAACTTTGGAAGTTCGGGGACCTATTAGAAACTCTTCAAAGTACATAAACTTTAATATGCAGAACAGCGAAAGTTCAAGAACCAAATTTATAATTTAACCTATTACATATAACTTGAACTCCAATGTATGTAGTAATTCAACCTGACCTTGCTTCGCAGGTCTCTCTTCCAAAAGTCTAAACCGTTGTACATAGTGTATTTCTAAATTACATTTGGAATTGCTAAAACAAACTTGCTCCTAATAAAGCCCATCAATGTCAGTTCAGTTCACCACTTCAGACATTAGACATTATTGTAGAAAGATCCATTGCTAGCTAAAGAAAGCTAATTTGCTGAAACTATAGAAAGATAAAGTGAACTCATATGACAAAGGAGGGACATGATTTTTCCAAGTATCAATAAAGGCGGTGGCGAATCTCTACAAAATTATGACTGAAAGGACAACATTTAACTCTGAAAAAAACATGGAAAATAAGAAAGAACTATGTAACACTCTCAATGTCGCAAATTACCTTGAAAATTAAACCGACAATGGTAGTTCCAGTCTTAAGATAAGATGCAGATTTAAGACCCTTCTTCGCAAGCATATCATTTCTTCTGCAGAGATCAAAACTAAACCCACCCTTGGGAGGAACATCAATCGCAGAGCTAGCCATAGCTAAATTTCAAGTGCACCTGAAAAGTTGAAACAAAATATTGGATTGGCTTCCAAATCGAAAATGAACAACAAAAATTCAATCAATCCCACAACTAGTTACACTCTTCTTTCAAAAACTAAACGAGATCTTTATTCCCAACACTGAACAAAATTAATGGGTCGCTACATCCAGAAATGAAAGAATCCAACTTATGGTTAAATAAAAACAAACAGAAGAAAAAAACCAAGAAATCTAACATGAAAAAGTAAAAAGAATTTTTTTTATATCAGGAGAGATGGGGGTACGATGAGAGCACCTGCGGGCGAAAACTTGACCGGAAGAAGATCGTTCACCAGAGCAGAGGAGAGAGAGAGAAGGAGAAGTCGAGGAAATAAAAAAAATATATTATAAAACAATCCCTAATACTCGAAGTTCTCTCCTGAATCTTTCTAGCAACATCATATCAACGAATTTACTTGCCGAACGCTGGGATTCTTTCATTTCACGATCAAACAAAAACCTAAGAGAATTGCCCTATGAATTTGTATCTCAAATTCCCAATTCTTTGCGACCCATAAACCAGGAGTGAGCAGATCAAAATGGTAACATTAAATGGCGGAATACGAAGAACCAAAGAAGTGTAAGAATTCAGATTTGAAAACATCGAACCTGAGAAGAAGGAATAGTGAGGATCGAACTTGGCGTGAGTTCGAGTGAGGTTTTAGCGAGTTAGCTCCTCTTCCCGTTCTTCGTCTAAAAAGCAAATAACTTGCAGAGAAGGAAAACACTTTTATTTTTTTCAAATAAATAAATAAATAAGAATTTTTTTTTAATTATTTGGAATTGGGGAGATAGAAAATTGACCAAATAAAAACAGAGAGCAGTGCGGGTCGGGAACTCAATTTGGGCCTAAAAGTTATAAAGGCCCATTTTGTTGGGTTACAACTACAAATTTGACAAAAATTTACAAAAATAATAATTTGAAACCACACACGAATCAATCAATTACCCACATTAATAAACTTCAAAAATACCCAAAATTTGAGAACAGTCCAAATATCCATAGATTTCTAGGCCAGGTTACTAGCTTGTCTCACATCAGCGACCTGAACAAGCATATCAAAGAGAAGCTTACTCCTCAAGAGTTGGATATGTTCAGGAAAGAAATAATATTTGGGCAATTTGTGGACCTGGATATGATATTCTATCGTTTATTGGTTTATTACTTTATGCTTAGGGAGGTTGCTGACACTCCGACAGATTCAATATCGAGGGCACTGCTGTTACCTTCTCGAAGGTGGGGTTTCTGTCAATGACTAAGGCTGTGGCAGTCATCTGGTAGGGTCATTCAGAGGAARGTCTCAAAGAAAAGGCTCTGAAGCCTATACTTCTTGGATAAGGTTGACTTATCTCTTCAAGAGTTCGAACGACCATAAAAGAACATTGTCTTCAACAACGACAAGGGCGTTGTGAAGGTGACGTTGGTATACTACACTGAATTTGTCATGATAGGGAAGAACAAGGTGAAATCTAATGTTAATAACGACCTCTTTGGGGACGTCGAGGACCTTGACCACTTCAACCACATGGATTGTGGGACAACTATATGGAATAGGACACTAAGGGCTCGTTTGGTAACATTCTCATTTCTTGTTTCTCGTTTCCAATTTTCTTAAGAAATCTAAGTATTTTTCAACTAACTTTGTTTCTTTGTTTCCCCTTTTTGGGAACATTCTCACAATTGTATAGAAAGTTTGGAAACAACCAAAACTAGTTTCTCTTTTCTTGTTCCCATTTCCAATTTGTTACAAAACATAAATAAAAAGATTGTTTTATCATACTTAAATTATTAGAGGTTGGAACCATGCAATATATTTTTCTTCATTAAAAATAAAAAAACAAAAACAAGAAATAGGAACGTTACCAAACGAGCCCTAAATGGCTTGCAGAGTGCAATGAAAGAAAAAGTTGCGCTCTATAAGTCCAAGGTCATTGGGAATAGAAACTACAAGGTGAAGTATAGTTTAACGGATTTGCCTCCCGCATTTCAAGTGACATATTTGTCATTACGACGATTGCACATGCGTTTCATAAAGAGTCCATTTCGTATGCGAAGCTAATATGACTGCTTCTTTCCAAGCATGGGTGTACAAGGTTGTACCAGCTCAGTGATGCGGAAGTGCCCCTCATCTTGCGGTACACCTGCCTCAAATAGGTCACCATTGACGTTCAGTATCCGCAGCAGTTCCTACTCCACAACAATATATGTTTGGTGCCATATAATGAATTCTCACAGATAGCAACAATAGGGCCTTCAGTAGCTCGTGTGTCTGCTCAGAAAATAACACCATCCTGAATAAAATCACAGAGATAAAAGAATATTTTGAGTTAAGAAACTAATAGTTATCTTTTAAAAAAGATGTACATCATTGACAAGATGAATGCTTAAAAGTTTAAATTCTCCAACCAACATGTGTAGAAGATTAGCAGCAATTTTAGTATCACTCAAACTTTGTACCTGTTGATGCAAAAATCTGTCGAGGTACAGACGATGACATGGGAGGTCGGGATAGGACCTTTAGAGAATGTTTCGGTGTACATGCAAGGAGGTAAGCCATTCTGAAGCCAAAGTCAGTATAGAATCCGAGTTCAACAGATCAGCATTAGACAGATTTTGTAGCTGGGTCCATGATTGACGTGATAGATAGCTGTCCCATCAGGATATTCCTCTGCTCGAGTAGTGCTCTCCTGAGCGACCTCTGGTCTTTGCTATTGACCGGTCCGTTCCCTATTGCGGTAGGTGAGATCTAGCACTCCGCTCCTCCTGCTAAGTGACCAAGACCGACATGTTAGGTCGGCTTCGTTGAACTGGTTTGAACAGGTGAGGTGGGCGTGGTTCGACCCCAACAGTACCTAAAAAAAATATCTTCGTATAAAGCAGATCTGCTAGGCTTTCAGTATATGGGAATAGGGGCAGTCTTAATTATATAGGAAAAATGATAAGTTAGGTTCCTAATCTTTCAAGGTCGTGGGAATGGAAAATTGAACAAATAAAAACAGAGAACAGTGCGGGTCGGGAACTTAATTTGGGCCTAAAAGTTCTAAAGGCCCATTTTGTTGGTTTACAACTTACAACCCCTACAAATTTGATAAAATTTACAAAACTAATAATTTAAATTTTATAAAAAAAAAGATAATTAAAAATTTATAACACGTGTTAATAAAATGATTTAAGCTATGTTTTGGCCAAAAGCACTTCCAACGTGAAATCATTGATTTAAAAGTGAACTATGAATGCTTTCGGTAAAAAAGGAAAAAAAGAAAGCTAAAAGCACTCTAAAGTGTCATTTTAAGTATCGATGGAAATATCGATTTCTCAATTTTATGGAAATGCTAATAAAAATTGATACAACTCATATTTTTAGAAAGATTATAAAAATAAAAAATTCGTAAAAAAAAATTAAATTAAAGCATTTTATCCTTTTTAAATTTAAATAAGTTAAAACTAATTAATATTAATATTATGTCTATATTAGTGATATTTTGTTATTTTTTCAATTTTTTTATAATATTATGAAAATGTCGATTTACCCCTTGTGTTAACATTGAACTCAGGAATATACAGAAATTTCGACAACAATTTATTAGTACTCCTAATAGAGTGGTTGATTCACTTGGTTTATCTTTATTAAAGTGAGATGATTGATAACCCTTTGAAGTTGGAGCTCAAAGAAAACATGTTGTAGATTAATAGTTTGGTGATCAAAACATAATTTGACAATCTTAATCATTCTAATCTCTTTGGTGTTAGTCTCTTAATCGAGTATATTAGACGTTATCTTTATAAGCATCGACGAATTGTCACCTCGTTCTAATATTCATCCTTTAAAATGATCTTTTCACACTTTTGTATCTTGTGATAGTTTTGATAGAATTCAAGTCCCTTGTAAACAAATTTAAATCTCTTAATATATATTTTTTGAAAATCTAACTTTTTCCTTGATCAATAATCAACCCTAAGAAATTATCAAGTAATATACTAAGGTTTCGTAATAATCATCACTCATTGATCACATGTCAAAAATTACATTCAAATTGACAATCAATCTCCTAAATCAATTTTTTTTCACCTGGTTGCATCCTGGAAAACAAAATCAACTTTTTAAACGAAAGACAAATTATAAATCATAAATCAACTAATTCAAGCCCTCTCAGTTACTTGCTTTGCCTCAGAATAAGAAATAGAAATTTCAGGTAAATATCATAGAATAAGATTTGATCCTGTTCATAGATTTGGTAAATATTCCATTTCAAATAGAGAAAGTTAGAAACAATCAAACAAATTGTTTGGAGATGGGATGTCATCATTAATTCACTCATTCACTCATTCATAAAAAGGGAAAAAAATAAAAAAATAAAAAAATAAAAAAACATATTTGAAAGAAACAAGTATGTGGGGCCCAAACAAATATGGAAGTAGAAAATGGCCACAAATGAAACCAACTTATCTCTGAAACTCAGTCCCGAGTCCCCAGTCCCAAAACTTGGTTTTTCCAAACACATGCTTGATGCTAGCCATTGACATAAGCTCCCAGCCATGGCTTCTTACCAATCATTATTCATACTCGGGCAAAGTAAAACCCCGCCGCACCCACCCCTATGCTTTGACAACCATCGCGAATCTGCAAGAAAACAGCCAAACAAAACAAGAATCCACAGCAGCTGCAGGCAATATCAGACGCCAAGTTCTTACACCACAAGGAAGAATCAAGCTTAATGCTTACCCGGATCGAGAATTCTATGCCTTTCCACGCTTCGTTACTCATGTCGATGATGGCTTCATTTCTACATTAACCAATTTGTATCGAGAAAGGCTGCGCCCTGGAATCGAAATCCTCGACTTGATGAGCTCTTGGGTTAGCCATCTCCCAAAAGAAGTCGAGTATAAACGAGTCGTTGGACATGGCCTAAATGCTCAGGAGCTTGTCAAGAACTCGCAGCTTGATTACTTCTTTGTTAAGGATCTTAATGAAGACCAGAAACTTGAGTTGGAGAGTTGCAGTATTGATGCAGTTGTTTGCACTGTTAGTGTGCAGTATCTTCAACAGCCAGAGAAGGTTTGTGAAGTCCTTTTGAAATATGTTTCTACACATTTATGCAGTAGCACAAATGGTGGTACATGTTGAATTAAGTTTGTAAATAAAGTAGATAATCCAGATTAATTTCATTGTATTTTTTTTCTTTGATATCCATGTGTCCAGGCCAGCTTACGCACACCTCGGCTATGATTAATTTCATTGTACACCCTAATGTTTAGGTGTTTTTTCAATACAGTCTCATGGTTTAAAAAATTTTAATCTAGGTTTTTTACAATTTAATATTTTTTCAGTCATACTATTTTTGCTGTTAATGTTAAAATTGGTTGGTAATAAGCTGGTTTCTTATAAAGGAAAAGAAAATTCAAAAGTGATTGACCATGAATCACTTTAGGATCCCTTTATAGTAATTTGACATTTGTAAAATCACTTTTAGATGCAGGGCAACCAAACAAATAAACTAGTGATTAAAAGTACTTTCAAGGAAATGTAACCAAGCACACAAGTACTATGCTATTTTTATCCAAAGATGATCAAAATTAGCAATCAAGCGAAAGATTTGAAAAAGATCTAGTTACAGGGTCATTACTAGCAGGCAATCCAAGATAACTAGACCATTCTCACTAATATAGAAGGCGAAGTTAAATTTTATGAAAATGGAAAGCTAACCAGTGAATATCATTGCAGGTGTTTGCTGAGGTGTTCAGAGTGCTGAGGCCAGGAGGAGTGTTCATCATCAGCTTTAGCAACAGAATGTTCTATGAGAAAGCTGTGAGTGCATGGAGAGATGGGTCTGCATACAGTAGAGTACAATTAGTCGTCCAATATTTCCAATGTGTCGAAGGATTTACACAACCCGAGATTATTAGAAAGATACCTGCTTCAAGTGGCGATGGAGAAGATAACTCACCATTCAGTTGGATTTTGAGGCTGCTGGGTTTGTTGTCAGGTTCAGACCCTTTCTATGCAGTGTTAGCTCACAAGAACTTCAAGCCTGTATATACAACTGAAAACAATTGATAGACCCTTGGGGAAAGCATAAATCTTCACGTCAATGTATTTTTGCAAACATTAGAATAAAAATTTGTTTAGCAATCGTCATAATACGCCCAGGCCTTGATAAGCGTGGAGATATCCTCCACGTCCTGAGTTCAAGCCTTTGGTTGAACTCAAAATCCTTGTTGGCTCTCGAAGTTAGTCTTGGGGAGAGTGAAGTCTCCTCAAGAATTAGAGGGGTGGGGCATGAACATAATGCATAAAGTAGGGCCTCTAAATACCCTGGTTTTTTTTTAATTGAACATGACATAGAAGAAAATCAAAACTGAAGCATAATTTACGGCAGTATGTCACACTTTCTATTGAAGCTCTTAAAGGTTGATAAGAGTATTAAGCACTAAGCTATATCCTGATTGATTTACAATCTCAATTAATCATTCGAAAAAAGAATGTGATTTTTAGCCTCAAAATCACCAAATTTCAAGCTACTAAGAGATCTCACCAACCACCTACAAAAGGCTAGAAACAAAAAGAGAGGGACTTTTTAACAAGGACATTGAGAGCCTTCAGAACTTCTTAAAAACCAGAGAAATAAGGCATCGTCTTCCTTCAAAAATGGTTTTTGGACCTACGAAAACATAAAAATTGTGGAACGGTCATCCCGATACAAGGTTCTTTGCTTTCTCAACTGCTTCGACGTAGTAATACAATCGCCAGAGAGTGATGTTATTCTGCAAAAAACACACGCACTTATATTCAGTCCATGGTTACTATTGCATGCATTAATGTGGACTTTTCACTTGCCTCTTTATCCAAATCAACATAGATTTCATCAGAGGAGTTCGTTTCATCTGTCCTATGTTGGATAATTTCTGCAACACGACCACAATTTTCTGGTGGAAGCTCCTGAATGAGTTTCTGAAGCTGTTCCTTTTCCTTGAAGGTCATAGGCCTGAAAAATAAAGACGACGGTAAACTAGACAGATCAAAAATAAATTTTAATGACTCATTTCTGTCATTCATACGTAAATATTCTCTGAAGGATAAAAATAGTTGGTTCCTGATGCCCATTGTTTAAAATATACCATCCATGAAATTGATTCTTCTACAAAATTTCTGAACAGCAAGAAATTCAACAGATTCACCAAAGTTTGTACATATTTTTTTTTATAAGAAACAAAGGAAATGTATTAAAAACCCGAAACCACCCAAGGGGGAAATAACCTAAAGGCGGAGGGCCAAAGAACTAATACAATCGTAGCTTTCCAATCGTGTATAATCAAATGAAGACATAATGAACTGAATGATAAAAGCATCATAGTGATCAACTTCATTATTCGGGCACAATACATTCTCACAAGAGGAAAAAGGTCGACTTCGTAGTACTAGTAATAACATCATGTTCCACAGGCGAACTTATTGAGAAGGACAAACTCAGTAGATGAGAAGAAGTGCCATGCTATACCCGCCTAAAACTTAACGCAATACCTGCAATTTGATATTACAGAATCAAGAACTTCCTCAAGCTGTTGCTCCATGTGCCCTAGCTGAAAACCCACTATTCAATGTTAATTAGCAGTTTAAGCACAACAACAGTAGCTTAATAAAGTATTAAAACACTGTGTTAGAGACATGATCCACTGGAATTACATATTACTGAAGGTAAATTGTATGAGCTGACAATATGAAACAAAGGCAAAAGGGAAAATGGATAATAGAATGTTACTGTTCCAGATAGTTCATTTGAAAGTTCAGTCACTATTTCTTCGATCTGCTTGCTATCATTCTCAAGAAAGAACTGTAATTCTTCATCTATCTGTCATGAAAAAAAAAAAAGGATAAGAAAAAATAATAGAAAGTTTGGTCTGCAGAAAACTAGACCATCACCATGCATTGTTATGCCAAGGAAAAATATTTTGATTCCCTATGAAAAAAAAAATTGACAAACTACATTGACTTGTTACCAATTTTCCAGATCCCCTATTTTATTCTGTCTTAGTGCACCAAACATAAAAGAGCTGGTCAAACTTGCTAAAAGCCAGAGATATCTTCCATTGACAATTAATCAAAGGAAGAACGAGGGGAGGTTGAATACCATTTTCTCTTCCAGTGAGTGGAGAATCATGATATGGAATAATGAGGTGCAGCCTAAGTAACACGATATTGAACAGCATGCAAAGGATACCCAAAGTTTTAACTAGGACATTAGATGTATGCAAGACCTGGTTGGGAAAGGGGCTGGACAAGGACCCTTCATATTTTTATGATGGTATGATATTGTCTACTTTGGGTATAAGCACTCGTGGCTTTGCTTTTTGTTTCACCTAAAAAGCCTCATACCAATGATGTTGTCCTTCACGTATATACCCATGATCTTCTCCTTTCCTAGTCGATGTGGGACTTTGTTTATACTCCCAATAATCTTCCACTCAAACAAAGTACAGGTATCCCTCAAATAGTCATCCACCAATCCAACTCCTATCCCAAGTCAACTCCTCTTCTTCAGAGCATATTGCCTGTCCACATCCAATAGAGTTCAACCATAGATCACATCACAAAGACGTTCTTTTGAGGCTTACCAAGCTCCCCTAAAATATTCATTCATCCATTTAGCTCTTGTACAGGTTCTGTCTGATAGAGCTCAATCACGAATTACACCATGGCTACATCTTCTAAGGCCCACCACTTCTTTGTTTAGAACTTGAACATTTCACCGATACAGCTAGGTTTAGACCATGTCTCTGATACCAGATGTTAAAGACAACAGTACCCTCAAGTATCTCCACAATGGTATGATATTGTTTGCTTTAGGCATAACTCTCCTTGACTTTACTTTTGGTTTCACCAAAAATGCCTCGAACTAATGAAGATGTTGTCCCTCACGTATGTACCAATGATCTTCTCATTTTCTAATCAATGTGAGATTTTGTTTGTACTCCCAACACCCCCATCCTCGAGATTTTAGGGTTAGGATCCCAATTATAAGAAAACAACGAGAAACTATATTGCAATATCAAAAGAAATTGATAATATCAATAACCTTTCGAAAGGACTATCTCTCCCACACAATCCATCTACTATGGACTGACTTCCCGAAACTATACCAATCCTCCACACTCCCTCTATTTATAACCATCCCTCAAACGAACTCACCAAGTAATTACAATCATGCCACTACTAATATCATAATAACACTCCCAATATATTCTCTATCAATACTCTAACGTTCAGCTCTTGAATTAAGTTCAGCTCTTGAATTAAGATACCAATGTAGAGAGGAATTAAGAAATTAGTATCTGAGAAAAAAAAGCAACTTAAAAATTTACCAATTGCATACCAAATGACCAACTATGATCACATATTAAAAACTACCAGCTTTCTTTGATTTTGCACACACCATCCTAAATATTTTATTTAAATCATGAGATAACCAAGACAACACCCATCTCTTGCCTTCTTCCAAACTGCTCAATGCTCATAATGTTTTAAAACTTGAAATAACATGGTCAATATCTGACTCTAACTCAAACAAAGAGTTCAGATTTCAGCATAAACCTAGGTTTTGCCTATCAAATGAAAGGATATTTAGGATCATCCATAAAGATACACCATACTATTATTCACTGTAGTAAATCAAAATGCATGGGTGCAAACCGAGGAGAGAGAGAGAAAGATAAAGGATGGGAACATAAATAAAACATTACCACTCTGCTAGATCCAAGATTAGCACAATCCTCTTGCGCAGATAGGCTAGTTGAATAGGGCAAGGATTTGAGTTTCTTAAAAGGAGCTTGCTCTACATCATTTATAGCTAATTTTTCTACATTTTCTGAGTTGGCTTTGGATCTCAAACATGACTTCAAGTGTTGGATAGATAGAGCAGGCCCGAGGATCTGCAGCAGCACAATAGTTACAATGGTAATTGGAAGACCATATATTCAATAAATAAGCATCAATTTGAGCTTGCATTGATTTTGAGAAAGGAAAGAAAGAAAGACAAAAAAAAAAGATGAAACCAGCTAGAATAAAATATTTAGGTACTTTGTAGTTCTACTTTCACGTATTATTTCTTAGTAAGAAGTTCTATTTGTTTAATACTCATGAAATTGAACTCAAAACATAACCAAAAAAGGTGGAGTTTACTCGGCACTTCATAACATAATTATTAAATTATCAAATAACAACCCATGTGCACCTGAGATGTAGTAACCCAATTATCTTTGCAACTATATACCTCATTTACTTCTTTTGACAGAATAACTGCACTCTGTCTCAGCAATACTTTCAGTTTTTCCTTTTTAAAATCAGAGAGCCTAGGTCCTATGCTATCACCAAATGAGGTCGAAGACAGAGATAACTGTGAATTATGGGGTGGAGAAGGGAGAATATCCTCTTGAGATAACAAATCTAGAACTTCCCTTTTGAAGTAACTGAAGTAATCAGGTCCAAGTTTATCTTGTTCATTTGCATTAGATGGATGCTTTGACATAACAAAACAACACCAGAGGACTGCACAGGCACAATACGTTAAATCAGAGAACTGAACTAGCCTACATCAAAGAAGGATTAGTAAAGCTTTCTTGAAAATCCAAAAGCTTTGCACAAAGATAACTTACTTCCCTTCCTGTTAATTAAAAAAAAAAACACACACACACACACACAGAGGAGTTTCCTCTGCTTTGTAAACCACAAAGGGGATATAAACACAATGCAAATATTCATCAAAATCTCACTCCTTAATCATAATAAAAACTCAAGAATAACGATAATCTTGCAATCAAAAGCCAAAACTAGTAAAAAGTGTTCGAGCAGAGGCAACAAATTCCCGTGGCTCAGCCTCTAAGAGAGCAGAATATCTGACGATGTCACGGAGAGCTGCACCTGCGCCATCTCCCGGCACTAACATTGTACAACTATCCAAACATCTCATTCAACATTAATAAATTTTCAGAAAAATTTTCGTTGAACATAAACTTTCAGTAAAACAATCTACCAAGCTCTTTATCTGCCATAATTTCTTCAGTGAGTTAACTAGAAACAGTAAGCTACTAAATAATGCCTAAAACTCTTTACATACAAAATTTCTACTAGCATAACTTCGAAGAAAGAGGACGAGATTAACGAACTGAAATCCATAAACGGAGAGGAAATTTTGCATTAATGGCAACCAAACAGATCTTAATCCAAGAAAGTTTCGCTAAACCAGTTCAAAATCATACGAGAAACCAAAAAACGAGGGAGATTTGAGAAGATTACGCGACAGAGAAACGCGAGACGATCGAGCTTCTTCCGATTCAGTGGAAGTGAAAATGAAGAGCTTCCCTTCGCATAATCGCGCCTATGGTTATTAATTTATATATTATTTTTAAAATATAAATTTGTTAGATTTTTTTTAATAGAGGAGGGAATTCCAACCTACAACTTAATGAATTGGTTTTAATACTTTTGCAATCAAGGAAGTAACTCCATTTACGGGTATTTAACATTTTAACCAAAAAGTTCCTGCTATAGGATCCTTTTTTTTTCTTTCTTTAAATGGGTTTAACTTTAATTCATACTCCTTCGGATTTTTTAAATATTTTATTTTTAGTGTCTTGAATCATAATTATTCAATAATTAAAATATCAATGTCAGTTAAAATACAATTTCAATTTTACAGATATATCAAATAAATTTTTTTTAAATGATTTCAATTAATATTTGAGTTCATTTCAATTTCTAAGTAAGTTATAGATGTTATTATTAGCATTTATATTCATACCCATAAATAGTTGTTGATATTTTTAATATTTCACAAATATTTATACGAGATATTAAATCTAAAATTTTCAAAAAGATTATAAGTTTAGTTTTATTGCAAATTGCATCTAATAATAAAGATTTCAAATAATTCTAATTAGAATCTTTCTAAGTTTTGTGTTTAATAAATAAATATCATATTTAAATGGGGAGAATTATAAAGATTTTTCAAAACAAAAAAAAAATCTAAAAAAAAAAAAAGTTGATTCTGTGTGTGATTTCAGCGACCGACAGATTTTTTAAAAAAAATTAGAAAATGATACAGATTTCGAAAGTAATTATTGTCAGTATATTAGTCGTAATTCACCCTGAAATTTTTTTTATTACTTTTAACCATCCAATTTGAGGTGCAGGAATAAGATTGTTAGGATAATTTTAGGAAAAAAAAATCTTGTACTCCTCCCCAATTTATTTATGTTTGATAATTTTATTTTTCAAAATATTATTAAACTTTCATTTTTCAAAAAAAAAATAGATATTATTTCTTTTTTTTTCACCAAAGAATAAAACTGCTCGCTTACAGTTAGATTCTGATTGGATCCAAACAGTTGGTTNAAATAACGCGATTTACCGTAAATCATGGCCGATTTCACTAATTTATTCATCATTCTAAATATTTAAAATAACAAAAAAAAACAAAAATTTGAAAAATACGTGGACCCCACAGCACGAAACGTGAATCTCTTATGGTACGCCGGTAAAATGGCATGGCCATAGAATGGAATTTTAATTTTGTAGAAACAGGAGACGCGTTGGTTGGTTCCCCTCCGAAATTGTTTGCAATGGCGAGTCAGGGAAATCTACCAGAAGATATGATGATGGAGATTCTGAAGCGGCTCCCGTCGGATTGTGTTGGTCGATTCAAGTGCGTTTCCAAATACTGGTACGCCCTAATCAACGACCCTAAATTCGCCGATTCTCTGCAACATCCAAACCTTCTTGTGAAGCTTACCGTAATTAGGAACGAGGAGTCTGGAGAGAAACAAACCATGCTCACCTCCCTCAAATTTCCCCTCGCATCCGCGGCTGTTGTGGACATGACTCTTCCATTATCCGACCATTTTCAGTATTGCGAATTCAATGGATGCTATTCTCGCTGTTTAATTTGCCTCTCCAATATGCTCGGCAATATTTACCTCTGTAATCCAGCAACCGGAGAGCTTCGCAAGCTGCCCCCCTCGATTCTCCTCACCGAACCCCCCGAGGACCCCTTCGATCGAAACGGTACAAGCACGGACAGAATTGGATTCGGGTACGATCCGAAATCCATGGATTTCAAGGTTGTTAGGGTTGTGACATTTGAAGAGGATGGATATTTATGTAACAGAACGGAAGTGTACGATCTGGGGAAAGATGGTTGGAGAGAAATCGAGAGTCGTGCTCGTGGGTTTGTAGTCCCGGATTTTTTCGGTAGATATGTATCACCAAGGAATGTATTACTGGATCGCGACGGAAGAGGAGGAGGAGGGAAGGAGTGAAATGATCCGGTCGTTCGACATGAGCGAGGAGGTTTTCGGGTCGATTCCATTGCCGCAGGGTTTCGTGAACTACACTGACTGCATAAATATGTGTGTTTGGAAGGGACGAATTGTTGTGCTTTTATATAATCCTGACTTTAGTGAAACCACCTTCGAAATTTGGGCAATGGAGAAGAACGATTCGAATTTGTGGGCCAAGGTATTCACAATCGGCTCTGTTTCAGGAATTGATAGGTCATTGGTGTTCGTGAGTTCTGATGAACTTGTAATGGTAACCAAGGAGGGACAGCTCGTTTTGTACAATCTCAACTCCCAACTCATTGTACAGCTTCCTCTAAAAGGACTCCCCGACAAGTTTGAAGTTACAGTTTTCATCAAGACTTTGCTGTCTGTCGGTTAACTGATATAACACAAGGTTTGGTTCTAAGATTTTACTTCTAAGAAATTAAGAAACATTATAAACGTCTGCTGTTTGGTTTTTTGTCATACAGATTGATTGCAAGGCATCTGTAACTCTAAAAGATTATATAGACACTTTGAATAATAAATGTGTGTACATTATCATATCACATTAGCAATTTGAGCTGGTGTTGTTTGATTGTTTTTAAATTGCAAATTTTGGATCTTAGTGTATTTCAATTAGTTATAAAGAAAATACTTAGATTAAACTCCTCACTTATATGCGGTTAATTAATAATAATCACCTTTTCATAGCAAATAATGTTTTCTATTTTTTCCTTTTTTATTTGATGCTAGTTCTTAATTAATTATCAAAAGTTGCTTGGTTGAGTAACTATACCTCATATTATCCTTATTTAGTTTTATTTATCGTTAAAATATGGTTATGGAATTATTAGAATCGTGTCCGACGGAGTTATTTAGATCAATAAGAGATTTTCAAGTAATTTTAACCTTTGAAATTTTTACATCTAATAAATATAATTTATTAAAATCCCAAGATATGAAACTAATTAAAGTAGAATAAGGGCAAAAAGGGAAAGAGCGAATCTAAATTGGCTAAGCTTGAAATAAAATTGGGAATTTTAATTTTTTAAAACGAGACATCTAAAGGCTAATTCTAAAAATAATGTAGATTTCAAAATAGAATCAAAAGAAATATAAATTAAATAACAAATTTCAAAACTAAGGTAGGTTTTAAAAATATTAACAAAAATAGAATGGATATTCGGTCAAAGTAAAGAATTGACACATCATATGAAAATATTGTATGGTCTATGCGATTTAAGAAAATTTGTTCACCATTTTTTTTTAAATTTAGTTCAAGATGTGTCAGTTCATTTGGTAGTGTTTCCACATTTTTTTGAAATACTTGTCATTTGTCATTTTATTTTACCACTTTGATATAGCATAAAGTATTTTCAATTTAACTTAATTTTATAATAACATAAATAAATGAGGAAAAACTAATAACATAAATAAATGAGGAAAAACAATACCATTGATAGTAAAATAATAACAATGATAACTAAAAAGGAAAATTAAGAGATATATATGCATACTTCATTACGATATATGTATTTTACTAATTTAATCATTTAATCTATGAGTGTATTTAAATTGTATTATTTCATACCACTTTTTTTTTCTTAATGAATTTTAGGTTACATTTCATATTTTTAATATATTAATTAAAAAATATATAAGTAATTTAATTTTTTATTTTGAAAATGTTATTTTTATCTAATTTGGACTCATTATTTTTTTTAAAAATATTTTGTTTGTTTATTAGAAATTCTAAAAAAAATTTGAAGCTAACATTTCATTAAATATTAAATATTTTAATTTATACTAATTCAACTTCATATTATAATTCAAATTATTAAAAAAATCTTTAAATTATATTATTGGAAAAAGAAAAGACAAAAAGTTATATATTCCAATTTTTAGATTTCATACCAATTGTTGATAATTAATTTATGAATTTACTATTTACAATTAATTAAAAACTTTTTGATATCCTTATACAATTTTTTTTTTCAACAAATCAACATGAGCTTCTAATGAGTTAATACATTACTATTTTTACTTTGTAAAAAAAAACATTCTAAATACATGATATGATACATTAGTTAAAAACAATAGTAACGAAAAAAAATATCAAACTTTAGCTATACACTAATCTAAAATATGCTAATGCTTGACGATCACTATTATTTACCCTAATAAATTATGAAACAATAACGTCGCAAGCTTTAGATTCAAGATATAGATTCGAAACATGTATTCTCTGCAACTTGATGAATATGCCACCAACATGATTTTGAGATGTTGAGATTGAATAATATTTAAATTAAAGAGCAATGTTTTGAGAGAATTAAGTGTTGTGAAAAAAATAGTGAAAGAAAGTATGTTTTTATAGTAGTAGGAGATAAAACGTCATAAAACTTTTGAAATTCTAATAAGAATGGTAACAAACGAAACAAAATATATAATTTTATGGTGTAGAAAATCTTTTGTATTCTAGTCGTTTACATTCTAACATTATTGTTTAGATCATATATGTATTTATTATTAATGATATAATTTGTAATTTAATAAATTAAGGAAGGGAAAAAAATGTTCAAAAATGTTTGTCCGAGATCCTCCCATTTTAGTATAGTAAAGATAGTGTTTGGAAGTTGATTAAGTAGTGGAAGAGTGAATTTAAGTTGGAGAGAGTTTGTAGTCTTATTGGAGTTGTGGTGTTTGTTGGAGATAAATTTGAAGGGTAGTGACCTAATTAGGTGAAGTTAGTGATCGGTTATTACTTTTTTTATAAATATTTTATAAATTCAATGAATAGAACTTCTTCCTTCATACAATTTATCTATTGCTTCCACTCTGTTGTTCTCTTCCACGATTTACACAATGTATACCTGTCAACATATCTTAGTTATCTTTCGAGTCTGTATAAAACACTTTTTCTTTAGTATTTATCATTAATTTTCCATTGCCATTGAACAAAAAGACTCAATCCATTTCAAGAGTTGACATATATAACATATTATGTATAGTTTCAAACAAAATGTTCATGTAGATATTTATTGATCATTAATTCATATAACACAAAAGATGTGTCCTTGTGTGGCTTCACATGAATAATATATTAAAAATTTTACGGTAAAGATTAAAATTATACATACATATACATATATACTTACTTGAACAAGGATTTAAATCACATTTTTGGTCTATGAACTTTCAAAATACATATTTTAATATTTAAACTTTCTTTTAATACAACATGTGGGTTTCGAACTCACAACCTCTTGGTTGGAGGTATATGTTAATTATTTTAATATTTAAACTTTTAAAAATAATAATTTTCAATATTGCTATTATGTTGTCTTTAATTACTTAGTAAAGGAAGGACGTGACTTAAAATGTGTATCAACAAGTTGACGTAAGCCCTAAGCCCACAGCTCAAATACGTGGTCTGTGCTATTTGACGTTTTGCTTTCTTTCGTCAGCATGGGGTTCTCCCGACGAACTTTCCGAAGAAAAATTTTATCGGGAGAACTTTACCCAACGTCTTTTAGATTTTTGCCGACATTTTGTTTGCGTAGGTAGAAAGGTAATTTTTAGTAGTTAACATGAAGAGCTGTCTTAATTTTTTTTTTTTTTGAAGATTGAAATTTTGAAAAACAAAATCGAAAAGGGAAATATTCGAAGGGTAGGGTTGTAATAATCACTTATCATTTAAGAGTTTGTAAAAAGGAAAATCTAATTGGAAATTAACATTTAAACCAACAAAATATAATCTCCTACATCTATTTTTTTCCTTGAAGTCAGATATTCAAATTCTCATATCCTGAATTTATTGTACTAAAAAATTAATATAATATTTTATTTAAGAAATGAGTAGAAAAACCAATCTGGAGTAAGTTGAACATTTTTTAGTGTTCTACTGATGGGAGTTTTTTTTTAATCCCAAGTAATTTTGTAAATTATATTTTTTATAATTATTTTAATGTTTATTTATGCACTTTTTTTAATGTGGTTTTCATATATATTTAAAAGTGATTTTGGATGATTAATTTTTTATTTAAAAATGATTTTAGAATAACCAAATTAATAACATATATTTGAGATAAAAGTTTAGAGATAGTACAGAGATTTAGGAAGAAAAAAATCAGAGAAAGGAAACAAAATTGACGATAGACAAAAGAATATATATATAGAGATAGTAAAAAAATAAATTTTCTCAAAATTTAATATAAAATAGAAAAACAATTTGAAATTTAAAACAATAACAATTTAAAGATTAAATTCTTATTAATTATTTTGATTAAAATCACTTGAAAAACTCATTTCTCAGGTGATTGACTGGAAATCACTTAAAATGATTTTTAATTTTTCTAAAATCCCTTATGAATCACTACAACATGTAAATTTTAAAATAAAAGTGATTTTGACACAAGTGAAAGTGATTTTAACTTTGTCAAAATCACTCACAAACCTGAACTTAATACTAAAAAATATGACTCTTCGCGTCTTAAACACCTAAATCTTATCTTAGAGGTCAAATGTATAATTTTTTCCCAAGAAATAACAAAAAATCAACACTAAAAAAAAGTCACAAGAAGAAAGTACCAAAACACTAATGATAATAATAAGACACATAGCTTTAGGACCATTTCAATTATAGCACTAATGATTACCATAGTCTAACTTAAAATTAATTATTAATGGCTTATTTAACGTTCCCACTATTTGGCAATTATTTCTATTTCAAGTTTTTCATTTTTAAGAAACCTTTACAATATTATCTAGAAATTTTGAAACGACAAAATCAAGTTTTTTGTTCTTATTTTCTAACTTTTTTCAAAACAAATAAAAATATTATTTTATCATTTTTTACTTATAAAATACATAATAAATATAAAAAAATTAATATAATATAAATATTTTTAATAATTAATTAAAAGATTTAATTTTCATAAAAAAACTTTTACTTTTTTAATTGAAAATTCTAGAGAGCAAGAAATGAGAAATAGTTACCAAAATATTATTGTTCCTTTTTTAATTAAAAAAAAAATAAGAAACAAGAAATAGTTACCAAAAACACAGTTATATTTTTATTTATTAAAAAAAATGAAACGAAAAGCAAGAAATGAGAAACAGAAAACGATAACGAAGAAACAAAGTAATATAAACGTTACTAAATGGGCCTACACTATAACTTCTTAAAACTTAAGATGTAAACAGGATCATTCCAAATTTCTAATTTTTATTATAAGTAGCCAATCTATACCTAACTTGCTTTAACTGATTAATGCATATACACCAACTAAACATCAGTGGATTCGAATGTCACCCCACTTGTACTAAAAAGACAAAAAATCTTCTTATAAGTAAATAGAATTAAAAAAAAAGGACACTCTCGGGATGATTGAAAAACTATACCAAAGAGACAAATAACAAAATTGAAGAAATCCACTTTTATGCTCCGTTTGGTGTCTGGAATTAGTAAGAAATGATATCAAATTACAGGATTTTAAATTATAGAAATGATTTCGAATTCTTGATTGAGTTTGGAACCAAGT